GGAAGCGGGACTTTTTTTTGGAAATTTCCTCCTATTTCCAAGGATCTTTTCTTTTATTTCTTTATTCAAGATACCTGTGTCAAAGCTATTTTCTGGGTTTTCTGGCCGTGGTCAGCACTCAGCAGGTTTTTATGGCTGACATTTCGTCAACGACTGCGGTAGACGTTATCAAAGGCGACGAGGCAACAGACGAAGTGCTCCAGTTTTTCTCACTCACTTGGAATTTGCACCTGATTCAATATCATTGATAGTGGGCGTGGCTTTGTTTCTTGTGGTTGGTGTGCAATTAAGAACAAGTAGCCAGATTCTACTTATGTTAATTTCCTCTTCCTTTCTATTGAAATATTTATTATTGTTCGAATTTATTAAAAATGTCACTGTAGTCAATTTTCAAAATACATTCCTTCTTGTTCAAGAAACATTCCAGCTCGTTCAGATGTTTTTCTCGACATTTGTGGTGTAGATTTTTTTTTCTAAGAATTCAAAAGTGAGATCCCATCATTGAAGGGTGAGGGTTAGAAAATTTTCTGTCGAAAATTATTATACTTACATTCTTATCAGGGAATCCCAACTTGTAAGAATTTCTGCCGACGTGCTAAGTTTATTTTCAATTTTATGAGAAATGTGAAATGTTTGTATGCACGAAAGGTGGAGGTGGATTTTTTTGTAGAAAATGGTTATTCTGGTCGGGATTTTTATCTGAGAAGCTGCAAATATTTTTGCCGACCTGCAAAGTTTGCTTTCAATTTTGGGAGAAATATGAATTTTTTTCACACACGAAGGATGACGATTGAATTTTTTCTGTCAAAAATGATTAATTTGGTCGAGTTGCTTATCTGGGAGGCCCGACCAACAATAATTTCCGCATTCCTACAAGATTACAAGAGCAATGTTTACTGAGAATAATTTGCTGGCCTGCAGACCTGCAAAATAGTTCTTCCTAACTAGAAGACTGAAGTTAGGACAGATACAAGGACTATGATTTCTAAATCATCCTTTATACTTATGCATTTCGTGAACCGACTCTTATTGCTGTTTATTAAATATGATGCAAGTTTCGTCAATTCATCATATTCAAATTGCCGTATTAAAACCAGAGTCAAAAAATTTATAAGCAAATGAAAATATCATAACATAATATTCGTGTATTCACCTCATCAGCTGGAACATCTGCTGTGCCTGGCATTTCTGAACATTTGCTACCATACCAATTTCTTATCCGTTTTTTTTGTATCAAACCAAAAAAGTTCTTGTGACTGAAGGAACCTTCAAGTTCTTATTCAACCGTATCAACAATAACGATTCATACAATAACAGTTCATCCAAATTGCACCAAATATACAAAACACTGACGCTCAAAACACTAAAAATAATGTCAATAAAAGAAACGAATTCAAAACATAAACAAAACCGATAGAGTATACAAGCTTACATGTAGTGTCATCTAATGGAGAAAAACGACAAATCTTATTGACGTTGTAGTCAGTGACATCTAGATTTTAAAAATGGTATTACAAAAGGATGTAAACACAGAACTACATACTTAGAATGTCCTTAGACCATTGTCTAAGACAATGAAAGAACTAATCATTGTGGCCGATAAGGAGCAATTTAACCGATGATGGCACTACTCAAACAGGTTATCGGAATAACTTCAAACATAGGCTATGTGTATCATTTTTGGGTTTGGAGATAATTAATTGTGAAGTTGTGAAGGTACTATTTTCTAGTGCGTACATTATAGACACGAGAAATTGATGAATAGGTGAAATGAATTACTTTCACTCACTGGAAGCACAAAATAACCACAATAATATATCAGAACCGCTGACAGGACTTGATTTTTATTCAATCATCTGGTTTAGTTTCAAAATGTTGTTAGGATAGACACAGACATATATGTATATGTATGAGTTCCATGGGTGTTATTCATATTCTGTACCACTGAACTCATTTCGTGAGTTTATTATTTAATGCATGGATGGATATGATGAGTTGAATCAATAATTTTCGAGAATAAAATACTTCGGATTCAAATACTTTCAAGAACTTTAAAAAATATGAAAAAATCTGTTTTTCCGCTAATAAGCTGTCGCCCCCATACGAACGACAACTCTCAGAAGTTGAGAAACTTGTGCGAGCTAAGGACTAACGCGGTCTTACCTTTTAACGTATGATTCCTAACACGGTTGCAGAATCATTCCAGCTTCAACCAGATAAATTCTTTCGAGATAAATATCTGGTCGATGCGGGAATCGACCGACTCACGATAGGAAGATCGTGAGTCGGGCGCACTACCACTGTGGCCAATTCCATATTCCAAAAATAGGCTATGTTCAAATGTAAAAAAAACATAACTTTCGCAGAAGATGAAATTTGAGAGAAATCTTAAGGTTGAAATCGTTTTTTGAAAAGCAGTTGCGCAAAATTTGGAAGTTGTTCAATATACATAAAAACAATTACATCCGTCGTCAATACCAATAACTTTTATGAACCCCAAAAATTATATCCAGTGCCGCTAGGATATTGAAAATAAATCTGATATCTGTAGAATAGCATGTTTCAAAAATTACGTTCTCTCTCAATTACATATCACAAAGGTGACTATCCATTGTCAAAATATTACATTTGGGATTTTGAAGTGCTGGTTTTGTAATATATTTCACTATTAACGTATATTGAACATTTTTCAAAATTTCTAAAGACAAAATTTCTTTAGATGTCTCAAGAGCTTGAAATAATTGGATACTTTCGATTCTTGGTATTCGATTTCAATATCATCTAGTTAACCTTAAAAATTCAAACGTCAAACTCATGGAAAATATACTCTAAAATATTATAGTTCAGTGTACTGACTGTGTTCCTGAAATAGCAAATGGAAAATTCAACCCAGAGTAGCTGAAGCGGATACCAAATAATGTATTTTAACCATTAGTTTTAACAAGGAATTGAGATTTTACTTGTGAAATGTTAGATCATACTGTCACAAACTGAAACTAAAATTTCTGTAATGTTTGCATACAGTAATCCTTTCGCGCGCTGAAATGTATGTTTTGGTCTGCTCGAATGTTGGTATTTGTTGGAACCAGTGTAAAAAATTGCGCCAAAAGCAATTCTGATTTTGCTCCAGTAAAACACATGGACGTGGACGAAAGTGACAGATGTCATAGATGAATTGTATTTATTAATAAAATCTTTTCATTTCCAATAAATGACCTAATATATATTTCAACAAGATGTAAAAATAACTACTGGGAGTGAATTATGGTTTTCACAAAATTATTTGTTACCTCGAAATAACTTTCAGATTTTGACAACAAAACTAAATCATTAGGTAATAATTTTTAAAAAATGTTGAAACTACGAAATTGCATTACAGGAATATCAAAATTTCACAAATGTTTTACAAACGCCACGTCCAGAAAAGTATCTACATCTAGTCCAAAGTTTAGTCCAATACGAGTGGGTATCAGTTCTGTTTTTGGTAAGTACTTATTGGCCACAAACATCATTAGTTCTGGAGCTCTCATGCTTATTGGAGATATATGCCAACAGGAAATAGAGTACAGACAGCGTAAACTTGAAAAGAGATATGATTATGGTCGAATGAGTAAGTTTTGTATAATTGATATTGAAGCGACCATAAGCAAAAGACTTTATTTCAGCTCGAATGTTCATTGTGGGACTTGCTTTCGGTCCAGTTCATCATTATTATTATATATGGCTTGCCAAAGCATATCCTGCAAAGACAGCAACAAATATAACATGGAAAATTCTACTGGACCAATTCATTATGTCTCCAGTATGTATTGCAATGTTTTTCTATGGAATGGGATTGATGGAAATGAAACCAGTGGTTGAAAGTAACAAAGAGATAACTGAAAAGTTTCGAGAAGTCTACACGGTAGGGAACTTGAAATTCCTAAATCACAGTTTCGGGCGTCACTCCATAGCTATAAACATATACAATTTCAATTATTCTATCAATCATCGCATATTATTATTTAACTATCAAAAATATGGTCTTCAAAAATGTATTATATACAAGACTATTCACATTCTTGCAGTAAGCTATAAATAAAATGTGGGAAAGTTGGGTATTATTGAGTGATACTAAATAATTTCTAGTTCTTTCGGTTCAGGAGATATATGGTTAATATTGAAAATTTCAAAATTCTATTTGTTGCTGTATGTTTTTTATTTGCAGATATGAGAAATTTGTTCACATTTTTTGTAACAGAATGTTATCAACAAATTTTGATACAAGATATCCAATTTGGGGTATCCTCAACTTTGGAATATCAAATGAGTAGTGACCTGTATTTTGTGAAGTAGTTTATTGATTGTAAATGGTCATATAATATTGTGAAATTTAAGTGATCTTGATACTCCTGGGAAGTTTGGTAATCACCAATTTACTTCCACAAATTTCAAAAATACCCAAAGTTCCATGTCCAGCTCCATTTTAAATCTTGTGGTGTTTCAAAACATCTTTTTGATATATTTGAAATATTTCGTTTTAAATTACCTCACTGTGATCCAACAAGTTTTTCAAAGTATGGTGATTGAGTAACAATTAACAGTCTAGATTACATTGTCATTAATATAAAAGTTCTCTCCAGTACAGTTCTAGAGATGTTGGTCTCTCAGATCACTATGCTAAAAAAATGATGTGGAATAAATTGAATTAGACAACTTGTAAAACAAAGTAGGTCATCACTCTGATGATGAGCATTTCTTTTCTAAATTCAAATCTTTAATAAGGGCAGAAACTTGTTCTTACAAAAAGGAAGAAAGTGTTGATGTCATGTTTGATAACTTGTTCATACATTTTCAGTGATTATTTTACGCAACAATTCATAAACAGAAAATTGAGCCAAAGTAATCCTCTAAAAGTGAGAAAATATGATTTCCAAGAGGGAATCATATTTTCAAATTAACTGCATGCAAATAATCCAATTATTTGCATGCAGTTGACAACAAAATTTCCTGTATAAAAAAGATTTACTATTCTAATACAATTGCCAGCTGTGATAACAAGGCAAAAACTCTTTGGATTATGGTAAATGTGGAAACCAACCGTATCAAACAAAAACAGGAAATCACTTTAAAATTGATCGTGAAGTAATATCAAATATTAAACAATTGAAGAGTACTTTTGGGAGTTATTCGTAAAATCTGTCAGAGATAAACTAGGCCTACATACAAAATCAGTTACTACAATTCCTAGTTCTGTTTTTTGATCCAGTAACCAAATATGACGTCAAATCTGTCATGATTCAAAAAGATATTTTCTGTTGGCTTAGTTAAGATAGCAACAAATATTCTGAAAGAGTCTGTTGACGATATTTCACGGACATCAACCTTTACTTCAAACCACTCGGTCATCAGTGAAGTGTTTCCAAGAAATAATTCTCCAAAGCAGTTGCTATCCTTGAAAAGAGATAGGCCCAGTATGTGTGGAAAAATACAGATTGATATGTCTTTTGAGTTGTCTTTTTGTAGCCATGGAGTCATGGAAATATCAATATGGAATCAAATAACATATATCTAGCTGAACATGAATTATTAACCCTACATCAGTTTGGGTTTCGACTTGGTTACTTTGTTGAGACACTTTAGCAGATCTTTTGCAATATATTTATTCTAAGTAAACCTACAGAATCAAATACAAATCCAAATCGCATATAAACAATATCAATAAAAAATAGAGAAAATACAAAAAAGAAAAAAATGATCACAAAGCATAACAAAACAAATTTGAAACAAAATAAAACTAGCAACTGGGCAAATTAACTATATCAAAAGTAATTGATCTTCTGAATAGCTTGCTTTTTGAACTGGGCAAAAAAAGTTGTGATGTTGAGGGGATGGGAAGTTTTCAGTATAGTTTCTTCGCAACCTTGTAGTGAAAGCAGTATTTCCATAATTGGTTCGATGATTTTGCATATAGAAAAATCGTCTTTGACAGGTGGTTCTGACATCTTCAGATATATGAAAATATATCATGGCAAGTTTATGTCTAACCTTAAGAGTTTGGAGGTTGACTATTGTAAGCCTGGCATGGGCATCAATTTCGTGAAAATACAGTCTCATTTTCCAATCAAAGAATTTTGTGAAACGCTCTTGTTCTATTTCTAAACTTAATGACTTATACAACGCTCATCATAAGTGTTACCCCCCTAACTAACTCGTCACTGGACCCTTGTTAGGGAAGTTGCCGAGACACGTCGATTTTTGATTTCTACAATGTATATTTGAGTATGAACAGTTCACACCTAATTTCATCCCTTACTAGAGGGGAGCAACCCTTTCGAAAAAGTTGAATAGCATGGGGTGGTGAGTGATAGCTCATTTGATTGAGGGTTTTATTTTCTATTCAACCGTGCAAAGAATTACACCACAAATATGAAGGCAATTAAACTAACACTAACTTTTTCTGTTTTTATTTCTTGGTGTCATCGGCATCGACTACATTGGTCATTAGCCTCGCGTCCTGAGTAGGCAATCTTAATAACTTCCCGAGCCACAGAAAATTAGTTCAAGGTGAACTTCGCCTTTCATCGTTATTTTTGTTTTTGTATGTTAATATTCTTATCGATGAATAAAGCCGATTATATTATTATTAAATGTACCAAAAATTGATTCAGCAGCAGCCGGCACTGCTCAACGACAACGCCCGTCCGCACATTTCACAAATCACCGTGCGAAAATTAAACGAACTGAGCGTAGAAGTTCTGCCTCACAAAAACTTATATTGTCTTAAACGAATTCGCAATCCTGTTGGTCTTTTTTATATTTTAAATAACTTACATTCATTAAACGTGTCGCATCAAAATCTTAACGTCACATCTCATCAAATCCCAGGCAAATGTCGAGAAAGCGGTCAATTTTATCGATACGAAGGGGTCAACGAATCAAAAAAGGAAAATTGAATTATAAAGAACAAATCAACACATCTGAAATTGGAGAAATAAAGAAATTACTTATGAATTTCTTTATTGAAATCGAAAGGAACCCCGAGGCAGCGCAGGAATTTTGTCTGGTGAACAGAGCTGCATAGGTACACTCTGATCTGTGTCTGGACTGAAAATAGACGAAGTATTCGCAAAAAGATGAGTGGAAACAGGAAAGTTAGCAAGAGGGCAAACTTTTTTTCACTATTGGGTTGCAGCAATTGATAAGTGAACTCTTTATAACTATTCTCAAGCTTTCGAGTAACTTAAACTCATCGTCAGGGGTACTAGAAAATACAAATTACAAATTTTTGATAATAGAATATAATATAAATGTAAATGTACAAATTTTCGTCTAATCTTCAACCTCAGATGCGTCACTGTTGCTACCGCTATCATCAAAGTGAATTATGATTGGTTCAATATTGTGTTCAATACGGTTGTCTACGTCCCACATTTTTTGCTCCTCTTTTAAAACATGCTGCATGCTCTACATCTATCGTGCATCGACAAAATGAGATTGTCAATGTCTTGTTGAGGTACATTTGCCCATTCAGCGATTAAACGCTCTCTCAATTGAAACGTTGTGTGAATGTTCCCCATATGCGGAGTAATTCTTCGTTGAAGCATGTCCCACACATGCTCGATGGGATTCAGGTCCGGTGATTGTGCTGGCCATGGCAATACATCAACTCCTTCGTTGGTGAGCCAGTCAGTCACTAGACGCGCGACATGTGGACGAGCATTATCG